CTCCCGCTCTGTCTCTATCTGAGACCTACCTCGCGACCAACCGCAGGGACGCAAAAGAATGCATCTGAAGAGGAAGTGGAAGCGATCTTCTGTGAGAGTAGGTTGCTTTGAGTGTGGTGAGTGTCCGGGTGTGCTCGGTAGAAAGGGTGAAGTTCTGAGGTTGCAGCGCTATAGGGTTTTACGGGTTTTTGGGAAGGGTTTTGCAAGTGAGTGTGAGGCCCAGACCCCCATGGAAGCCTGGAGGCCCAGTGACGTGCTGCAAGTGTTTTGCGAGGGTTTTGTGAGAAAGGCTCAGGCTCTACTTAAAGCCTTGGGGCCCTCTGTGCGAGTGTGTTTGCCAGGGTACGTGCAAGAAGCCCCGAGAGCCCAAGCCCCCAAAACGTCCAAAGTCACCGAGGCACCGAGAGTCAGCAAAGCACCGAAAGTCCCCGAAGCACCGAAAGCCAGCAAAGCACCGAAAGCCAGCAAAGCACCGAGAGCCCCCGAAGCACCGAGAGCCAGCAAAGCACCGAGAGCCTCTGAAGCCGTGGAGTGTTTTGTGCTGGTTGGTGTGCGGCGTTTGCGGTCCTTGTGCTGTTGTGGCTTGGAGCGTGTGCGTGGCTTGTGGTTGTGTTGTGCTTGTGGCTGGGATGACCTAAGGTCGGAGCCTTTGAAGGTGAAAGGTGGCTGTGATGAGAAAGTGTCTGAGCCGCCACACCGTTTGTGCATGATGCGTGGACTTCCGGTGGAAGTGACGATTTCCGATGAAGAGTTGATTCCGGATGGTGATCCACCAAGGCAGGCGGAACCCGCCCAAGCCTCAGCTCCAGCACCGGTTGTTGAAGCCGAGCCTGCTGCTGAAGATGCTGGGGATATTTCTGAAGAAGGGGAACTTCATGTTCCACTGGAGGATAAAGAGTATCAGGAGCACGTTGCTCGGGGCCATCAGCCCTATCTGCCTTCGTGTTCTTTGTGTGTGTCCAGTCGAGGAGTGATTCCAGCGCGAAGGCGCAAAGATCCTTCAATTCCGCAAGCAAGCTTCTTAAGCGACTTCTTGTTCTTTACGAAAGACCTGAGAGTGTGCATTGTGGTGCACGAGCTTAGCGGATATTGTTTCGCTGTGCCCTACCCCACAGGAGGTGATCCAGGGCATGTTGCACGGTGTATAAACGCCGAGCTGGCCGCCGCAGGTATTCAAGGTCAGCATGTTGTGCTGAGGATGGATAATGAAGCGTCTCTGATCTCGCTTTGGAACAAGGTGGGAAAAGACCGCTCATACCCAGGCCTCTCGTTGCACATAGACGCGGTGCCGAAAGGACGGCCGCAGTCGAAAGGGCTTGTGGAGGTAGGTGTGCGACACTTGAAGGAAGCCTTCTGGGTGAATTGGTTGACGCTAGAAACTACGCTGGAGAAGAAGCTCCGGCTGGGTGGTTTGTTGTACAAGGAAGCTTTGAGATATGTTGCTAGGACAAGGAACCTGCATGCGACATCGAAGTCGCAAACCACGCCAATTGAAAGGCTGAGACGCCAACATCTTCCAGTAACGAAGACGTTTCCTTTTGGGTGCAAGGGTTTTGCCAAACCTGCGAAGCAGAAGCCTGAGAATCGAGGCCGCCGCCTCATCCCGTGTATGTACCTAGGGCCTGCTAAGCCCAATGGTGGAGGAGTGCGTGTGCTCCCTCTTGATCGGCCTGATGAGGTCGAGGTGATGTCGGCCTTTCGGCCGGACCAGCCTTACCTGTATCCTGAGGAGTTGGTGGTACAAGCCGCTGATTCGGGTGCCCCTTCTAGGCAAGACAACGTTTTAGAGCGTCCTGTTTCCTTAGACCTGAAGCCCCCCGAAGCCTTTCAGCCTGGAGAGCCTAAGGGTAATCTAGTTGAGAGGGGGAGTGCGGAGCCGGAGGCTCCAGCTGAGCTCTTGGAGGATGAGCTTATGGACTATGATCCTTCTCCAGTTGAGGAGGAAGAGGTACTCCCTGAAGGTCCCCCTGCAGGAGAGAACGAGGCCCCACCTTTGTACGATGTGGACATGCAGCCGGCCGACGATGATGATCCCATGGAGGTGGCGATCAGCTGGCTGGAGGACCATGCTTTGTACTCCATGTGTTCTAGACCTGAGGTTGTGTTCGCGGCAAAGGACGCTAAAGGGTCTAGGGCGGCCAAGTTGGAGTTTACTTTGAAGTTTGGAGGGTCCAAGGTGAAGGTTGAGGTTCCTTCTGGGGCTGCTGATGAGTATACTGGGGAGGTTCTTGAGGAGAAGAAACTTGGGGAAGGGATGCGTCTTGAAATGGAGGAACTGGACCACTTTGGTGTGTGCCAGGTTGTGTCTGAGAAGGAGGCGTTTCGCCTTGTGCGGGAAGCTAAGAGGAGAGTGCTTTCCACCAGGTGGGTGTTGCACTACAAGGACGGGCACAAGCGTGTGCGCTGCCGTTTGGTTGTGCGTGACTTTAAAGGGCCCACCTCTGCTTTAGCTGATGGCATCTATTCTCCTACTACTACCTTAGAGTCTGTGAGGTGTCTGTTGGGGATGTATGCGCATTTCGGAGGGAAGGTGATTTCGGGAGATATTTCTGTGGCCTTCATGCAGGCTAAGCTGTTTTCTACTGAGGTGGTGAAGCTGCCGGAGAACTGTAGGACAGTGTCAGGTGAACGTGTGCATTGTCTGCTGAAGCGTGCCATGAATGGTTTGCGGATTGGGCCTTTGGCTTGGTTTCGTGAGCTAGGAGAAACACTGAGAAAACTTGGTTTCTTTGTTACTGCTGACAGCACTGTGTATCGCAAGGTGATCAAGGAGAAAGGCAAGGATGCCATTGTGTTGGTGTTGGCCTATGTAGATGACATCTTGGTTTTCAGCACGGTTGCGAGTGTAGCTGAGAAAGTGTTTGAGGAACTGAGTAAAGTGTTCAAGATGAAGCGCACGGGAACGCTTCAACCGGGAGAGAAATCGGTGATCTCCTTCCTTGGGAGAAACATTTATCAGAGGAAGACCGGAGATTTGTACTTCGGACTCAAACCCGGGATGCTCCATAGCTGTGCGGAAGAGTATCAAATCACGAAGGGAGCGAAACTCCCCAAGCTTGAGCGTTTGTGGACCAGTCTGGAATCCACCCCGATCACGCATGAGGCCTATCAGCGCTACCGGCGCGTGTTGGGCAAACTGTCGTGGCTAGCTTTGACAAGAGCTGATTTGCAGTTTGTTGTAGGTTTTCTGGCCCGGAGCCAGAGCAACCCAGACTCCAGGAGTGAAGCGTGTATTCGAGCTGTGCTGCGTTGGGTTCTCACGCTTGGGAATCGGGTTCAGCGGATCCCGGCACAGTGGGTGAACTATCGCCCTTCGGAAAGTACGCGTGTGATCGATTGTTTCTGTGATGCTAGCTGGAATTTGCCCTCTGTGAGTGGGGCGATTATCTGCTGGCAGTGCAACCTGCTGAAGAGTTTTAGCCGTAAACAGACGGTTGTGGCCCTGAGCAGTGCCGAGGCTGAATTGAGTGCTTTGGTAGAGACTGTGAAAGAGGCTTTGTTTGCAGGGTTGCTTCAACAGTCGTTTTTGGAGGGATTGCCTGAGGATGATACCGGAAGCTTTTGGATCCGGATTTGTACCGATTCTGAGTCGGCAAAGGCGATTGCTTCAATGGAGGGACTCTTGAGAAGGGTTCGTCACCTGGAGTTGCGGTGTGCTTTCCTGCAGCAGATGGTTCAGTCGGGGAGAGTGATCCTCGAGTTTGTGGCCGGAGCATATAATGCCTCCGACGGCCTGACCAAGAGTATGGTCTTTCAGGAGCAGCTGGACAACCTCTACGAGGTAACCGGTTTGGTTTCTTTTGAAGACGAGTTGGGTGAGTTTGAGCTGGAACGCCTGACTGCAGAAGAGCCGGTAAACCGTTCTTTTGTTCCTGAGGAGTACGTTTCACTGTGTGAAGCTGTGGCGAAGAACCAGGTCACCTTTGTGGTCGTTGAACTGTTCTGCCAGGAAGAAAGTGCCTTACAGAAGGCATGTGAGAAGCTTGAGATTGCCTATGTGGGCATCACTGAAAAGCTTGACTTTTGTTCTGAGCAGACGCAGTGTTTTCTGAAGGAGTTGTTTTCTGTGTTGAGTTGTGGCTTGAAGACGAAGATCTACTGCCATATCTCCACTCCCTGTACCACTGGGTGTCGTTTGCGTTACCGCGGGTGGCGCAAGTACAGTCAAGAGAAGTGGGAAGAGAAGAAGAAGTTGCATCAGCGTGCTTGGGAACTTCTTGAAGGTTTGTTGAAACCGGTTGCTCGGAGTGAACGCTTGTTGTTGACTCAAGAGTGGCCTCTGCAGAACGACCTCTGGAAGGACCCGCGGTATCTTCAGGTTGCTTCAGAATTGGGGCTTTCTGAGGGTATTGTGGTAGACCGCTGTGCGTACGACTGTGTGTTTAAACGGTGGTACTTTGCCACGAACAGTAAACGCTGGGTCAAAGTGTTTCCTAAAAGGGATTGTGACCAAGTGCATGAACATGTACAGGTGGAATTAAAAGATTCAGGGTTCTATCCTGAAAAGCTAGGTCTAGAGCTTGTAAAGTGTGCTCAAAAGACACTAGGTGCCGCATCAGTCCAAGAGGGGGTGTGGAAATGGGAGCCACTGCCGCCATTTTGGCGATGCCCGCAATCGCGGATGACTCCAAAATACTTGGAGTTAATTTGTGCATGTCGGACAAGCCTACGGGCTGCTTCTGCGAAGCGTACGAGAGAAAATCCCATTTCATTTGGCTCAAGTTTTCGGCTCAGACGTTGCAGTGCCGTCGTGGCCAGCCTTGGGGCCTACTTTTCTAGAGGTTCCAAAGAGGCCCCAAACCCAACCTGGTAAAGGTCGTAGGCCTGACAGCAGGCAAGGGTTTGGTGGGCGGCCCGGTAGGCTGTTTTCACTGCACGTTCTGAGTGAGGTCGATCCTCCTCTTGCCGAGTGCACTTCTAGAGCTTGGAAGTGGGCACCACTCCTTGCTTGTTTCCTGCAGCCACTACTCTGGTAGTGGTTTCCACACCAGCTTGCAGCCATGCCGCGCACTCCCAAGTGGATCCCGTGCGCTTGTGGGTACCACTGGGCCTGGAAACGCCAGGTTGAGTCAGGGGAAAATACCCACTGTGCGTACTGCGGCAGAAACTGGCAGAAGCAGCTGGCCAAGCAGCAAGCAAGCAAGGAAGCCCGGGCCGAGAACTCCCAGAGCCCCCGAGCTGTCTGGGAGGACGGTCGCACCAAAGGCAAGGGAAAAGGAGAGGGAAAGGGTTCTAAGAACCTACCAGGTGGCAAAGTCGGCGCGGTGCTTGCGGGTCTTTGGAAAGACCTGCCAGAGGCTGCCCAGAAAGCCTTTCAGGAGGTCGGGTACAGCCCACCTCGGCCGAAAGGGCCACCGCCGCCCCCACCAGGATTGGACCTCCAGTCCCTCCTTAAGGGTAGGATGACCGAGAAGGAGTACAACGCTGCCAGGGCCGTGGTCTACGCGGGGGCAGGGCTCCACGTCCAGACCCTTTTGGAGGCCGCGGGGATCCCCCCTCCACCAGATGAGGACCTCGACCGGCCGGAGCCCACGCCCCAGGAGAAGCTGACCAGGTGTGTCAGTGACTTCAAGAAGGCCACCAACCAGATGAAGAATCTGGTGGAGAAGAAGGCCAAGCTCCAGGCCCGAGCGGACAAGCTCAAGCAGGAGCTGGAAAAGCTCATTGGGGACGTGGACCAGGTCGACAAGGACATCAAAGCCAAGGATGTCGAGATCCAGGAGACGGCCAAGGCTTTCAAAGAGATGACGGCGGACTCCACCAGCACCGCCTTCAGCGCCTTGGAGGCGGTCCTTTCGGAGGCTGGCCATGAGCTCAATGAAGCCACCCGCGCCAAAATGAAGGCTGCCTTGGTCGGGAAGGAGGACCTCCCCCCGGACCCCTTCATCGTGGGTTTCCGAGGGCATGATGAGTACTTCCCTCGAGAGATGCCCCCCATGTATGGGCCTGCCCGCACCGATCCGCATGGGAAGCGCCCCACACCTTTGGAAGGGACGAAGCCAGAGGGAGCTGCGGGCAGCGACAACCCCGAATAGGGGCGCCTAGGCCAGGGGAACCCTGCCTTCCCCCTGGCCCTTTCTGGGCCTCGGGCCCCCAGGCAGATTTTGCAAGGGCAGCCGCCCAATCAGGCCCTTCTCCAACCGTCAATGGAGGTTTTGCAGGCCTTTTCTAGCAACCAACTTGCTCTTTTACCGAGGGGGAGTGGTTCGCCACCCCACCGTGGCCAGGGTTCACACAAGAGTAGAGTTTTTTGCAAGTTTTGCAAGTGTGATCTGCACGATTTAGGCAGCACTCACCTGTTTTGCGCGCGATGCAAAGTCTTTCACAAAACCCCGGCGGCGCTGCGTTGGGAGCCAGCGCCGGCCCGAGGTGCTAAGGTGCCCTACCAGCCTCTTTCCCTGAAGCCTGGGCACGGCCTTTCGATTAGGGGCAGTGAGCTTTCCACCCCCTTTTCTTCAACCCTGGTGTCGCAGGGTGTCCTCACGCCAACGTGTTCGGACAACCAGAGCGCCCAGGATTTCCCCAGGCTCTCTGGGCCAAAATTTTTTCCAACCGGATGGGCCTTGGACCCTGAGCAGGAGCTCCCTGCCCCAAGTGGTGCCTTGGAGGCGCTGCCAAGGGGCAACGGGGAACCTATGGGTTCGGGGTTCACCCCACCCGTCAGGCCTGTGCTGTGCCTGGCCAAGGCCCTAGGCATCAGCCCGTCTCGCGGGGTCCGCAGCATTGCCCACGGCCCACGTGGGCGGCGTAAAGTGCAACAGGACTTCCTCTGGGAGTCCACTCGAAAACATCGTGCGGCTCACCGGGCTAGGAGGCAGCAACTGGCCAATTCTCTTTTCTGGCCTCCCGGTCCTGAGCCGTCCAGCGCCAGACCGCAGGAACAGGGCTCCTCATCGCCTCCTTCCCCCCCTGGTGACGCAGGGCGGCGGCCCCTTACCTCCCTCGGTCAGTCCCCCCCGAGACTCAGGAAGCGAAGGCCTAGCACTCGGGGGAAAGCGGGCAAGCCCCTCCCTGACCGTGAGCCTAAGGCAAATCCAGTTCAGGCCCTTGCTGCAGGGCTCGCAGAAGAGCTTCGGGCGCACAATGACTGGAGCAAGTCCGAACCTCAGGCTCTAGCCCTTGCTGAGGCCCTGGAAGGAGCCGATGAGGCCAGCTTGGGTTACCGGGTCTCCTATGAGATCCTCGAGGCCATGCAAGGCCACTCGTGGCTGGACCCCCTCACCGCCGCGGCTTTCCTGGACGACCTCGCGGCTCAGGGGCACCAGGGATGTCAGGAGTCTGTTGTGTTTGTCAGTGCCAACATCACAACGTGGACTCCGGACATTCTCAAATGGCACCAGCCGCAAAAAGGGCCCCTTCTCATCCAGGAGCTGCACCTGGGAGATGAAGGTGCCAAAAAACTGCGCATAGAGGCTTTGGCAAGAGGGTACCATACTTTCCTCCCCCCTGTCGAGGGCCCTAGACCCACCAAAGGGGGACTGGCCACACTTGTGCCCATCCATCAACAGGGACGTTTCAGAGGAGGGTACCTCTCTGACGAAGGGATCGGCTTTTTGCTGGTCGAACTCCCCAGGGTTCGCCATTCTATCCTTTTGGTCAACCTGTACCTCAAATCAGGTGTTGGCATCACTGGGGCGCCCAACCCGGAAGTCCTCGCCCGACTGAAGCCCCTCCTGCGCCAAAATTCCAACTGGATAGTGGTCGGGGACTGGAATTTCCCATCGCAGGAGCTGGCTGAGACCACCCTGCCAGAGGCCTTTCGTGGGCGGATCGTCGCCCCACCGGAGGCGACGATAACTACAGGTAACTGCCTTGATTTCGCCCTGGTCTCCACCAGTGTCGCTTCCCTGTTTACCTGTGCTGCCAGTTGGCAAGTGCCCTTCCGGCCTCACGCTGCACTGGAGTGCTGTTTTAATACCCCCGGGGGCCAAGTCGCCTTGAGGCAACTCCCAGCGTTTCCTGGGGTGCTCAAAACAGCCAGCACTGATCCCCAATCCGGGGCCACTGGTCGGACTGACAGCCTCACCCAGGACTCGACCTTGTCTCAGCTAACCCCCGGTGGCGGCCCTTTGCTTGGTGCTTTCGGGTCTGAGGTGATCCAGGGCACTCAGGCCAATCGCCAATTTGCCGAACTCACCCACCGGTTCGCGGTGGAACACTTCACCAAACCCGGCGGGCGTGGGTGCACCCGGCCCTTCGTGTACAAACCCCTCATGCAGCCGAAGGAGGGCTATCCGTGGTACGGCAAGGAGGCTGCCTGGTGGCAAAAACTGCAGCTTGCCTGGGACAACCCAGGCACCAGCAGAGCCCGCTTCGAGGCCCTTCGGCGGTGCTTTCCTTCGTCGTGCGCGGAGGTGTTGCAGGCCAAACTCGAGAGTGCAGGCCTTTCAAGCCTCAGTCCGGAAGAGGTGCTCTGCAACGGGGAAACCAAAGGTGACTCCCGGGATGGGATCCGCGCTGTTGTCAGGAGCATGTGCCAGGCCGCCATCGAAGAGTCCAGGTCGTGCGAGACACGGGACTATCAGGAGTGGCTTACTGGGGCCTCTGTGAAAGGCCTCCGGCCGCTCTTCCGTACGGTCAAAAAGCAGGAGGTTGAGGTTGCCCGCCCATTCGTGGACGAACCGGCTGAAGCCCGGCCCTACCTCCGACTGCAGCAGTGGGCTCGCCTGTGGGAGTCGAAGGGCCAGCCTCCTCCTCCCATCCAGGGCCTTAAAGAACGGGCAATTGCCCAAGCCCAGAGACTCCCGGCCGTCACTGGGGAAGAGTTCCAGCGGCTCATTCGCCGCCTGCCTTTAAAAGCGGCGGGTGTGGATGGCTGGTCCCTTGAGCTGCTCAAAGCCCTGACACCGGGTGAGGTTTCCTCCCTGGCTTCGTTTTGGAGGGAAATCGAAACCACGGGAGAGGTGCCACAGCAGATGACCTTTACCATCTTCACAATGCTCGCTAAAAACGAGAAAATCGAAAGACCGATTGGTTTGATGTCTTCGCTCCTGAAGCTCGGAATGAAGGCCAGGTGGCACCTAGTTGAAGCGTGGCTTCGCGACTACCGCGCTGAGCTTTGGTGGGACTGCGCTTTGCCGGAGCGCTCCACCTATGACGCCTCGCTCCGGAGAGGCGTCTGCTACGAGGCCGCGCGCGTCGACGGTCTCCATCGGTGCTCTTTGTTTGTCGACTTGAGTACCTTTTATGAGACCGTGGTTCACTCCACTCTCTGTGACGCCGCGCTCACTGCCGGATTCCCGGATCTTTTGCTTTTCCTCGCTATGGAATCGTATCGTGGCGGCAGAGTGATCCTTTCCGACGAAGTCGCGTCGCCCGTTGCTTTCGCTCGCCGCGGAATTATAGCGGGCTGCCCTTTAGCCCCTACTCTGAGTAAACTCGCTGTGGGCGAGCCGATTCGGCAGTGTTGCTCTGGACCGCATGTCAACCACGTAGATACGTGGATAGACGACATCACGGTAGATACTGAACATCACAGCCCGGACCAAGCAGCGAACTCAGTCATTAGGGTCTTCAGACGGCTGCATGCCTCGCTTTCTGCCGCCGGGTACCAGGTCTCTATCGGCAAGACCTATTTCCTGGCGAGCAGTTCCCAAGCTGAGCGCGCCCTGAGGCGAAAGTTGGGAGAGGGTGACCCCCCCATCCAGAGTGTTGCCAAAGACCTGGGGATGACGCTATCAGCTGGCAGGAGACGGTGTACTCGCCTCTCCACGGCGCGGCGGACCAAAGCCAATGCCAGACTGGGCAAGCTTCGCAGCCTTAAGGTCCGCAACATCAAGGCCAGCAGCCGGGTGTTTTCCATGTCCGTGCTGGCATCGGGGATCTGGGGGCACCAGGCCCACGGGGTGAGCCCCAAAACCATGAAATCGGTGCGCTTCCAAGCTGCCGCCATCACCGGCAAGGTTGGCACGGGCAGTGTTGAAATCGCGCTGGAACTTGGTGCCTGGCTGGTCAAGGACCCCCGGGTGGCAGTGGTCACCCAACACTTTAAGGCTCTCTGTCGGGTGATGGTCCGCCTCCCTGACCGCGAGCAGCTGGACCGAACGTGGGCGCAGCTCACTACCCAGCTCCAAAGGAAAGACAGATGGCGAGTGGTCTGTGGACCGCTGGGGGCCATGATAGCCTATCTGCTGGATCTCGGGCTTGTGGCTCCCGCCCCGGACCGTTGGCTTTTCCCTGCAGACCTTTGTCCTGCCACCCTGGCAGGGGTCCCTGAGGACTCTGGGGTGGTGGCCCTCAACCCCCTCCTTCGGAGGCATTGGTCCGCCATCCTCTCGTGTTTGACCAGCGCCTGCCACAAGGCCCGGCGGAAGGCCATCAGTACCCAAACGGGTTGCAGCAGTTTGTCCTCAGGTGTGGACATTACGGTTCCCACTGCCCTTGTGAAAAAGGCTCCGCGGATTAAGTCTGCCGCCCTGAGAATGGCCTGGCAGGGAGCCCTTAAAAACCGGCATGTCCAAGCGGGCCAGCAATGCCCCTTGTGCAAGGTGCCCCTCACCCAGCACCACGTCACCACCGACTGCAGCTGGTGGCGCGGCAAGGCACCCCCTCCTCCCAAACACTGGGAGCGCCTTACTACCCAGTTCCCATTCGACTGCCTATGGGAACGGGGCCTGATGCCGGCTCAGGCCACCCAGTTTCAGGGGTACTGCTGGGGCCCACAGTCGGAACGGGCCGATGGTGTTTGCAAAGAGGCCAAGTGGCCACAGGGGCTTTTCTATTCGACGGACGCCTCTGGCGGGCCCTACGCGGCCGACGCCAGGGGCAGAATAGTGGCCTGGGCCATCTGCGCGTTCACCTGGACGGAGGGTGCCCCTCTCCAGGTAGGCCAACTCACTGGCCTTCTCCCCCCAGGGAGTTCAGTGTGCGAAGGGGAATGCTTTGCGGTCGCAAGGCTCGCCTCGCACTTGGAGGAGCGGGCTGATTGCACCTCCGACTGCAGTGCGGTGGCCAAGCAGCAGTCACGCGCTGTCAAGCCTTGGGTATGGGCCCAGGCTCTTGATAAGGCGTCTCTGGCGCAAGTCACGTGGACCAGGTCCCACACCACGGAGGCCGAACACGCGGCTGAATTCGGCCCCGACCAGAACCAGAGCTGGCGCCGGACCATCAACGCCAAGGCTGACGCCGCTTGTGGTGAAGCTGCGCTTGCCGCCATCGCCCACTTACCGCAGTGGGATCCATCCCCTGCCGATGATTTGGCGCGAGAGGTAGCGCAGCACCTCCAACGAAAAGCCGAAGTGCTACTTCTGAGCACCGACAGGCCCCCATGGGAGGCCGTCGGGGACAGCCCGGTAAAGGGCAAGAGGTCTCCTCGCCCTGAGGCCAGGCTTAAGGTGAAACAGGCCAAACCTCCTCAGAGGCAGCATCGACCTGGCGCGGATGGGGGCATTAACAAAAAACAACGCCTGGAAGCCCTAATGGCAGGGGTAGGCCACCATGGGCACCAATTTGAGTGGAGCCATACGAACCCCAACAACCACTCCCTGGTTTGTAAGGTTTGTTCCCTCTTTATCCAGCAGACCCACTCTTCTGAGGCCTTCCGGCGTCTGGAGGCACAGCCGTGCGCTCACCGGCCGTTGCCCGACCTCAGCAACTTTGGCCTGCACGCTTCTCACTCATTCTACTGCATGGGGGCAGTCCTCCTTTGCACCAAATGCTATGCGGTCCACAAGCCAGGGCAGCTTAACCCCACAGCTGTGGCCAAATCGCAGTGCGAGGGGGCCTCCCGCGCCCACAAAAAACGTGGCACCCAATGGGCGGCCAAATACCTTAAGGAGACGTCCACCCAGGACACTCTCCAGAAGGTGCTAGGACGTGCAGGGAACGAGGGATCTGGTCTCTCGCGGGGGAGTCGCCTTCTCAATCCCGGCTCGGTTGCCGACCTTAGTGGTGCGGACAGGGTTGAGGTCCCCTCCCCTCAGCCTTCTCGCACCCCGGAACAGTCTTCCTCCAAAGGCCAAAGCAAAAGAGGCAGGCACAACCAGCCTGCTCCGCAAGCCGCTGCCCAAGGCCCGCCAGGTACCACTCAAGGGGCAACCAGCACAAAGGCCAAACGGGCCTCGAGCCTCCCAGCGAGACCAACGCCGGGCAGAGGGTCAGAGGATCCCTCCCCTGCGTTGAGGGAGCCCGCGTCAACCCTGCAGGCCAGCTCTAGGACCCTTAGGGTCAGCGGTAGTGGTTCCCACACCGCGAGGGAGGCCCACACAGAGACCTCTGGGCACCACGAGGGGGATAAGGCAAAACCTGTGGAGAGAAAGCAGAAGCCCGCGCGCGCGTCTGGTTGTAAGGCCCCAAGACCCTCAGGCTCCACGTCCTCCGCCCTTGCCCCCCTTTTCTCAGGTCAACCCAAGGCCCCTGAGGCTCCTGTGTCTGTTGGTGATGTTGGGGAAGGGACTGCTGCACCCACCCCGAAGCCCAAGCCGAAGCCCAAGCCTGTGACTCAACCTAAGCTCCGGCAGTTCT